AACAGCAGAAGAAAGAGGATATTGTATGCCTTCAATCAGCTTTGTATTAGAAGATCCTTAAAGGGAAAATTATGTGAAAGAAAGAAGGAGGAAGAAAACAACAAACTAGCAAGATCCCTATTTCAATATAATTTGGAGAAAATGACTGATTTGGGTTGGTCATGTTGCCAGAACAGATGACTCAAGGCTTCCAAACAAGAAATAGAAATCAGGAGGATGCCTGGAGCCTGAAAGAAGAACAAATTGTGAAGATATGATTGACTGTAAGGCTTCAAAATCAACTGTACCAAAGATGAGCTTGGATCGTTGCCCAGAACAGAACTGAATGGTGATGTTCATTTAGGTCCTGACTGTTGAAACAAAATAAAATGTAGTAATTGTGCTCTGTTAGGTATACAGACGTGTTAATGCTTTCCAATTTCCCCAACTGGGGATCTGGTGTCATTTTCCCTGTCGCTTCTATTTCATGCTTCACCGGTGAGTATTATTGCTGCTCTGGACGCTTACAGAATGCCAGGTTTTTGGCAAAGAAGTGGGATCCAGGTGAAAGCATCCTTCTCATGCTGCATGTGAGCATTTTGCAAGTAGCTTGGAACGTGGCTTTTCAACTTGGAAATAATTTCTTCAATTGACATTTTCTGGCTTCAATAATGTGCGTCTCTATCCTGGCTTTCCCCGTATGATTATCGCAGGACTTGGGTTATGAATCTCAGCAATTTGAGTCCCACTATCTCTGACAGCCAGGGAAAGCCTTGGTTGTACATTGATTTGTACATTGATCTTTTCTGTTTTAGGAGGGAAGATACTTTATTCACAGTTTCCTTATACTCATTTTATTAATTTATTAATTTATCAGTTGGGTTTTATGATAACCTTTCTGACAGACAACAGTTCGACTCTATCTGAAGGTCAGTTGTGAAGCAGCTACATGGTTTTCCTTTCTTTTTGGGATGTACAAAGAAGAAAACATTCCACGTTGTTGCTCCTAACATCAAAAACCTGCCTCATGGCCTAGCAGCTTAGGAAATCTCCCAGCCTGCTTATAGGAGCAGTCCAACTCTACAGTACAAGTGATTTCCAAACAAACATTTTTTTACATACTAAGTTAGAAAAATAACAGCAAAACCAACAAGGGGGTGACTCAGAGGGGAAAAAAAAAAAAAAAGAGAGGCAGAGGGGACGTGATTTTTCCACTCCTTTTTATTCTCTTTACCTGAGTCAAAATTTGAGAATGTTTAGCCCTATCCTATTTACCCAGTATTCACCACAAAGTCTTCAGATTTCAATAGCTAACTTAAAGCGAGTAACTTTTTTTCACAGACTGAAGATGTTGTCAGGTACACAATGTTTAATTAAGGATTTGTCTTGCTCTCTGGTCTCTATTGGTGTCTAAAATTTAGACTTTAAAACAGGGTAACCTAAAACTGGACCTCACTAATGAGAGACAGCAGGAAGATGTCTTCAAAGGTTTAATTTACTGTATGTGAAGCTCCGTGGCTGGACACAAGCTGGAACTCACAGGAAATTCCATAATTCCTCACTTCCATATATCAGCATCTTTTCATTGGTTGTTCTATGACCTTGTAGCTCCCCATATGTTAGTTTCACACTTTAAAAATGGGGGTGGGGAATGAGGGGTAAAATTATTTCGTGGGGTTTGAAACCTGTATTCCAAATAAGCTATGTGTAAGCTGTGTCTTTTGAGAAGAATATGTGCAAATAGTTTTTGATCTTCATTTTATAGATGTACGTAAGTAATACAAGGCCTGTTTTGATTATACAATTAAAAACAAATGTGATTCAATACTGTAGTGTTCTTAGATTCATGAACAGTAACTCTCATTATTATATGAGCCATCATGATCTAATGGCTTTGGATATGTGGTACTGCATCCTCATATTTGCTGTGTGACTTTGGTCTTCTAGCTTCTCCATGTTCCATCTGTGGTATGGGGTTCTCCCATAGGTAATCATACCAACGGGCAAGAGTTTTAATGTTTGATAGCCTCCCTGAGAAAGATTATCTAAAACTATTTTCTTTAATTCAAAATATTTTAACATTTACTTATACATATTTGTGAAATACAATGTGTTGTTTCAATACATGCATGTACTGCACAATGATTCACTTAGGGTAGTACCATAGTTTTGTACACATTAGTCCACCACGTCTCCTCCTCCTCTCTCCCCCACCTTGGCCTCTGGTAACCATTATTCTACTTTCTACTTCTATGAAAACCTCTAAAACCATTTTTCAAAATAGTTTTCACAATCTCCTTCTAAATGCTTAGCTTAACATTTAACAATTATCTTCAGTGTAATTATGATTTAAGAATTACACTTTAAGACTTTTTCAGAAATGGGGGTTCTAAGGCTATTTGTATCAGAATGCTCTTAGCTGTAGGTTAACAGAAGACTTAATTAAAAGCAGCACAAATAGTAAAGATTTTTAATTCCACATGAACAGAAGTAAGGAAGTAGTAGGATACTGGGACTGGTTAATTCAGCAGGGCATTTGCATCTTTCTGCCCAGCCATCCTTAGTTTGTGGGCAATGATGTCTCGCTTGGCTGCAGAGCACAGGCATTTCACGCAGCTAGGACATCTAGCAAAGAAGAGGGACTTTTCTTTCCATGTGCCTCTTTACTTAGACTGGAAATCCAAGACTTCCAGTACACATCCCTGCTGGTCCCCGGGCCAGGCTCAGGTCATATGCCCATGCCTAACCCACTCACTAGCAAGGGAATGGGACCACTGTGATTGGCTTGAACAATCCTGCTTCCCTCCGTGGGCTGCAGAAGGGTGTCCTCCCGGAGCACAGGGGACAGTGATCACATGCACTCTGAGGAACAAGGGGAAGGTAGATGACTCTGACAAATCAGTAACCAACAGTGCTCTCTACTGACTTTTTAGATAATAAGTTTTTATTTTAATATATAATATTAATATTTCAGTGTTTTATCATATCACTTAGTATTCATTATCTTTCTACCTCATTGACAGAATTACCCTGGTCTGCTTCTTAAGGGCAAAAGTTTATCTTAAGGGGCAAAAAAAGTTTGCCCTAGGGCCTATTTTTTTCTCATTCCAATACAACTAGAAAATATTTAATCAACAACCCAAAAGCTTTCACAAAAATGATCTTGTTCATCTTAGACTAGTTCCAGCAGTCATGCAGCTAGTGTTTCACATTTCTTTAAAACACAATTGAATGAAAATTAGTATAGGGACCTGGTTTTTAATTGCCTTTTCTGTTTCCTACTAAGATAATGACAAGGTATTGTTACAGCAGAAATAGTTTTTCCAAAGTTTTTATTAAAATAGGTTTATTTCAAGAAAAACTGACATTCAATATAGCCCAAAGGTAAAGGACATGGACTGTGAGGGCCAAAGAACTTGATTTGAGTAGCTGAGCCCTATTCAGCAATGATGTGACAGGAAGCCTCATCTGCGAAATTAGGAAAAAATCATACCTTCTCAAAGGATGGTTATGAAAGTTGAATGAGATTTATATGTGTACATATACTTACATATATCTATTCTTATCTGAGCAACTAGTACATAGTAAGCATTCAACAAATTTTGACTAGTTTTGCTTACAATAATATTAATAAAAGTCCACAAACATCGAAGTTAATATTTTCCTAATAGGATAGTTAAAATCAAATTCACACCTTTTAGAAGTAACAACTTTAATGAACAAAATATGAGGGCTGCCATATAGTTCATACAGTGGCCCCACAGTGGCTCTTGTGCCTCTTCCAAAGATTTCTCCAGTTGTCTTGATTTAAATCAAAACTTAAAAGCACAATGGTGCCTTGACTGTCCTGTTAGGGACAAGAGTTGCCATTAATGCTACATAAACGTTTAAAATCCTACTGTCCATTCATCCAGCGAGTAGACTGAAGGTGGCAATCTGCTCCTTGAGAAGTGCGCAGAAAAGAACCGTATTAATATGGGTGTCCCAAGTCTCTTCACTTCCCTGGTTATTGTCCTG